TTCATGTGAGGGCTCACTACCTACAGGTTTCAAAAGGCTTTTGTGCAGAACGAAGTCTCAGCTAGCCCAGGACACCTGTACAGGTGTCAGTGTTACTGACAAATGAACTTGCAGGCTGACCCCTTCACATTCAAACCTAGTAAACTCAGGATCAAATTTCCCCAGGTTTTCTGCAGCGACTTTCCCCACATAAATGCACATGGCTTTATACATAATTCAGGGTGTTTTTTTTTTTTTTTTTTTTTTTTTTTTACGCTTGAGAGGAAATAGGATATTGGATGATCTAGGAAATATGCTTTGCATGTACTAGCCTTCTGTGAGATTATCCTGTGCAGAAATCACATTTTCACACGAATAACTTTTATAAGCCTTTATAACACTCATACCTTAGCTGTCTAAAAGGAATAAAGGAGAGGAAGTAAGGCAAGATAGAGCATGCATATTTTCTTAGGCTTGGTAAAATATTTTGTCTTTAGTGAAGTAAACAGCAAAGCTCCTGCTGATGGCCTGACATTAGGATTCACTGTAGGTATTCAGTATACATGCACACCACCTAGCATTGTTAAATGCCACTGTAACACTATTTGCAGCTTATCTTTAGGATACAACACTGGAAAGTCCCACTCACTTTCCCAGATGGTTGAAGCATTCAGATTGTGACAGTCAGAAGGCTTCGTTACTGAACAAAATTTGCCATGCATTTGCTAATGAGGATTATCTGAGAAAAATGTCCACCTCTGACAGTACTTATAAATGTTCTGTAAAATACGTAAATAAGCAAACAAAACATCAGAGAGCAGAAAACAAGAAGGAAAAAGGCTGGGCCAATGTATCTTCCCCTCAGATGAAAAAGGCTAACATCCAAGAAACAAATGCCCACTGTGTGAACAAACGCCCGCTGTGTGCGCCACATTCATGCATCAAGAACAGAGAAACGGTAACCAGAGATGCGAGGCTTGGCACCAGCTCTGCTGCCATGCTCAACTTCATCACTCCTATAAAGACCACTCATTGCCACCTTGCGTTGGAAAGTTGTAAAGCAACTTAGCTGCTGTGCAGAGTTCACACTAATGGAGTTTCCTTTGGCCTTCAACAGAACAGAAGCGAGTCCAGCAGAGCAGAATTCTGAAAACAGCTGGGTAGTTCTGGGAAGCCCTTCACAGGGTGCTCAACAGCAACAAAAACAGCCATGTTAAACGGTCTACAGAAAGTTAGGTTTTATCCACCTTGTCAGTTCTGCTCTGAACTGCAGAACACTTAACTAAAATTACTACCCTGTTGTTTCTGTTAAGAATAAAACAGCTATATATATATATATAAATAAAGAAGACACTCTTTATTTTGAAATCAAATTTTCTGACATTTATGTTCTTTTTTCTTCCCTTGAAAAAAACATATGCCCACTATTGCAAAGCAGAAGGATATAGCTCTTCCAAACCAGCAGAGACGGTCTGATGTCAGACAGAATTATGTAAGTAATCAACTGTCCTTAGCATTGCCATCAAAAAGGCCCTGAAGCTCAGGAAATGCCAGTAGTTTCACAGTTCTAACAAGTTCTGCAGGAAAAAAAATATGTTTTAAATGTATTTAAAATATGAAACCACTCAGTGGCAGTCTGCTCGAGTATTTAATGTCAATCACCTTGGAAAAGTTGAACAGAATATCACAGAACCATGTAACATATTCTAGCAAATATAAAATATGATGATTATAATACTGAAATATTACTCTACTCTATTTTGTTTCTTCCTGAACCACCCAGCACACAATGTGTTTAAGATACTGATTTAGCTAAGCATACAGGAAAACTCCAAGTTGTGTGTAACATAAGTTTCAAATCAAAATGCTTTGTCCTTCGGCAGTGTGCACAAGCAAGAAGCATCTGACAACTGGAAAGCAAATGCAAGTCTTGTTGCTGATAAGGCCATCCAATATGTGGTTTAAGACCTGGCTGTGATTTTCAGCTGTCAGACAACTTCAGTGGAGAACTGCACCAGAGTTGTGAGGGATGCTGTGAACAGCAACATTAAACCAGGCTCCTACAATGGCTCAGTATGCCTGAAGTGCCCAACCAGACGCATAAGAGACAGAAGCTTCCTTGTTTCCACACCCACACTAAAAAACAAAAAAAAAATCTCAGATGTGTTTTAAAACAGAGCAAGGAAAATGAGTAGGCTGAGGGATGCTGAGCTGGCTGCTATTTCTCACAGAAGAACATGGAGCTGTAGCAGGTAGCCAACATAATCATCATCTCATTGCTCAGAAGTCAAGAAAGGAAATGAACTATGAGGAATTATTAGTAAAAGACCAGATTAAAAACCAGAAAGAGTTGTAATACAACTGCATAAGTCCAAAATGCAGGTACAGCCCAAATACTGTGTGCAGTTCTGGTCTTTCAATTCAAAAGGGGTTTAGTGAAACTAAGAAAGGGAAAAGAGTGGCAAGGCTGATTGAAATGATGAAACAATGTCCTTGCAACGAGCAACTACACAAATGAGGATTTTTCAATTCAGGAAAAAGAAGAGCAAAAGCTGGTAGCATAAGCATGTATGAAGTCATAAGTAGCACAAAAACTGAATAGAGAAAGATTGCTGAATGTTTTTCACAGTGCAAGAACTAGGGAGAACCAAATGAAACTGGCAGGTGGCTCAGAAACAAACAAAAGGAAGTACTTTTTCACACAGTGTGTAGCTAAACTCTGGAACTAATTGCCACAGGATGTTGCAGATGCCAAAGTTTATAAGAGTTCAAAAAGCAATTAGAGAAATTCACAGGAGGAGAAAGAAACCCATGAAGGGCTATTAATCACAAAGATATTACCTCAGGATTAGGAAATCTTGGAACCAGAGATTGTCTGGTCTGCTCTTTCAGCATCTAACAAGTACTGCTGTATGTTTAACCTGTTCTTATTCTTTTCCTTGAGTACCCATAACTGCTCACTGCCAGGGATATTACTGGGATCCACCCATCCCAAGACTTCCAAAACCCTATTAATCCTTAAGAATACAGGGCTGAAACACCAGTCCACAGACAAAACTTGCTCAAATAAGTTCTGGGATTTGTGTAAGCTCTCATTATGAGATTGAGTCATCATGCTAGAAACAGTTTGCCATCAACCAGTATCTTGAACAAACAGTAAAACACATCCAGTGTTCAACGTTAAAGGACTGACAGATGGAAGTATGATAGGGTTGCCATATCAGAAGGAAGCATCTTAACCTCAGGTCTTTAAAGAAATTTTTGTAATTATAGTCTCCAATCAGGAAGCTGATCTTAGCCTCATATTAATGAAATTGCCCTGGAAATTAAAAGACAAGTTTGTAAGCATTGGAAGAATAATACAGTGGAACAGATTTTCAGTAAGAACAGAGTGCCCCCAAATGTTAACTGATTTAAAGACGGAGCTCAAGATAGATGAGTGAGCTGGATTGTATAAACACAGCTGCCTGCAAGAGAGGGAGAGCGAACTTCATGACACAGGAGACCATTTCCATTCCATTCCTAATTAAAGTACAAGAACTTAACAAATGCGTGTCACGGGAGTGAGGATTTTCTTTCCTTAACCATGGTTCTGATCACCACTGAATACTCGAAGAAGGAAATTACTCGTAAAGCCACCTGAGGGTACAATGCATTATGCTCTCAAAGTTTGTATCAGGAGTATAAAAAAACTGCAACACAGACATGCACTCTAGTCACCATGGGAACGGCAAAGAAATCCCTCTTCACTGTCATTTGCCCATAAAAATTATAACCACTTAGCAATAAAAGCTTGCAGAAAGTAGAGAACATTGCTGATTTGACTACAGAGCTAAGCAGTGGCAGTTTTAAAATCTTCCCATAGGTGCAATAAAACAGAACATGTCATCGTACATCGTTTTGCACTGAATAATGATTATTTCATTAGAAAAATGTACTCAGCATCTGTGACCTCCTGAATCTAAAAGAAATACAGCGTAATGATGGTGTTTTAGCTACACAATTTTACAAATGCATAGTCCAAGAATTGATGCATACATACACAGAAACAAGGCATCACACAAACAAGGCATTCCTAGAGGTCTAGCCTGAGTTTGTAAAACAAAAGCTCCAGTCATTACTGCTTTGAAATGGAAGGTTACTCCTGATGCTGATAAGAAGCAAAAGTGACAACACAAAAAAAATTTAAGCCAACTTCAGTGCCAAATAAAGCCAGGTTAACTTAAATGCTATGTCTTGTTTTACTGTTCTGTTTACACGGTTTTGAAACATGGCATATTTGAGGTTAAATTAAAATCAGCAAGTTTTTATTTGCACTGATACTTGCTCAGGAAAATAAAAAGCAACATTCAGCATCAAAGCAACATGACATTTGTTAGGTGGAGAATCACCCACGTAGGGGCTGTCCCCTTAAAATCTTTCACTGTTTATAACCTGCATATATTAACTCCAGCACTCTCTTAACACTGAGTGACTCAAATCACTGTGCTACTGTAATCCCTCCAGAAGTTTAAAACTGCTAGCTTTTCTTCCTTGTGTCTCAGTGTAACAGCTGTTCCAGGTTAGCAGGCTGACAGGTATTGCTCTGCATGTTAGGACTAAAACCAGCTGACCACTAAGTAAGGCAAGTGCATTTCCAACAAAGAATCTGTGGAAAGGCACCCAACAAGTAAAAACAGTTATCAAAACCTCCTTATACAGCCAAGAACTGTATCACCCACAGACAGTTCTGTGAAGGCATGGATTAACCACATTGAACTGTAAGAACAGGAACTGTTCTTTACAACATTGTTGTAACTATGTTTTTCAACGCAATGATACAATATATTCATAGTAACAGTGAACCTAAATCTAGTACAAATTTTTTTCTATCACATTTACCAACCATGTCCAACCAGTCAGTGAAATCTGACTGTATTTAAAAAAAATTCCATTTGTGATACTTATCAAATGTGAGCACACGAATGGCCCACTAGCTTAGAATTTGTTTCACTTCAACCTAGTTCCAGAAGACTACTTACTGAGATCCTCTGCGAGCTGGACCCTTTTGCCAGTTAGGAGCTTCACCTTCTTTTCATTGTCCTCAGCAAAATCTTCAAGCACTTCCTTTACATTCTTCTCTAAGCGCCTTACTATTAAAAAAAAAGTGATATTGCTTTTGCAACTGCAATTACATATCACAATTGATTTCTTTTTTATATCAAACATTTTAAATCAAGGAATACAGCAATATTCAACTCAGAAAGAAGAATACAGTTACTACTTATTGAACCTCTACTTGGAAGAAGAAAATTACAAGTGGCAAAACGTAAGTTGGAAATACTTTAAACTAGAAAGTATCTCAATTATTTGTCATTCCCTTTACATCAAATCATTCTAATTTAAAGCTGTTAAATCATTAATCATTCTAATTAAATAATTTGAAATTAATATGAATTAAATATCAATTTTTATTCACTGTACATCCTTTAATTACTCAACTAGGACACAAAGATTAGCCAGACATGCTAAGCACGAAAGGAACAAGCAGCTAGAGGAATGCTAAAAATAACTCTGCAAAATATTTTTTAATTTCAAATAACTCACTATGAGCTTTACCTTCTGTATTAGTAAGCTGCTGCCTCAGTGTATTTGCTGTAATTGCCAGCATTCGCTGTATCCGCCAGAAGAGGACAATATCATTACATTCAAGCTGAAATGAAGGAAGTTGTAGTGTAAGACCTCCAGTGCAAGGCACTTTTAACAACTGTGCAGGTACATACATGGATCCTGATCTTGCACAAAAGCCCCACAGAACAACTGCTGGAAGTAACGAACACATTTACTAAACCTACTTCTCAAACAACATGCCAACCCTACTTCTTCATAACAAACGCATTGAAAGGCAACAGCTCAACTCCACACAGGGTCTCCCTGCCTGGCAAGTGCCTCTGTGTTGGGCCAAGGTCTATATTAACTAACAACAGAAAAGACAGTTCTTACATCTGCAAAGATGACAGAAAGGAGAACATCACACCAGGACACCTTCTAAGACAAAAATAGGAAAGTAAATGGAGGGTAGGCATCTAGACATCACAGAGCGGCAGCCCTCTATCCTATGATTTCACACTCATCCCTTACAGGAAAAGAAATTTCTGCACCAGATTTCTGGTTCCATGAGGGGCATTGTTTCTCCATTTAAAAGGAAGATAAAATCACACAAAGTCAGAAATCCTACCCTTTGAGTAATTTCTCTTTAACTTAAAATACAGTGCTAAGAAAAATGTATATTCTTGTCTTTGTAGGACTTTGTGCATGCAGTAATTTGTTGTACAAAACCAGCAAGTCCTTTACCAGGAAAGATAACTCTTTACAGCTACGTCACTGTGAGCCCCATAGTTGTTTGTTGTTGGATTCTTTTTCCTCATTAATCACATGCAGCTCCAAGCATCAACTCTAAGCACCTATTTACTGTACTTAATCCATCAAAACACCTTTAGTTAACTTTTTACCTGAACGTTTAATATCAGTGAGGAAAACAAATATCAGTGTCAAAGTGAGAGAAATGGATACCAAAAAGGCATTGATAAATCCTGTACAGTACTGCTTTTAACTGTTATTTCAGTGCACACTGACAAATGGTGGATTCTTAGTTTGTAGCTGACTCCTACTGGTCGTTTTGCATAATTACCATTTAGATGGAATTAAAACCACAGGATTTAAAAACATCCAAAACCACCAGCTATGTTAAGATACAGAACACAAAACAAAGGTTAGACCAGTTTAATGTATTTTTGGGTCTTTTTCCAATTAGAGTTAAAATACTAAGGCAAAACATTAATATATGTCTGCTCTTTAATTTACCTCCGAGTCTACAAAATGTCTTTGATAGTAATAGAAACCTCTTCGACAAAGGTTGCAGTGGTTCAAAGCAGTCTTCAGGAAATACCTTCTATAAATTTGATGCCATGTGTCTTTTATCTAGAGGAAAAAAAAAAAAAAAAAAGAGAACTTAAAAATACAGTTTTAAATTCTGTATTACAGAATCAGACAAACTGAGCTGCTGGTGGCATGATGCAACCTTCGCTTTAACATCAAGGATACATTTTTGAGTCACACACCTTATTTTACCAGCTAATCCAGATTAAAGCACAGGGAAATATTTAATGGGTCCTATGTAAACAACAATTAGTAACAAAAAAACCCACATACAAGTATGACTCTGGAAGAAAGTATCAACTGCTTAGCTAGAAAGAAGATTCAGCTTGCAGTCTACTCATACAGCAGATGTGGATTTCTATGCTGACCTTTACAAAGTAGGTATGATAAATGCTACATAAAAGAGGCAGCCAGTATTTAAATAGCTCTTCTACCTTTAATAAGTGCATGCATGAATATTGAAAAGGTGGCTGAATTTACTGCAGAAAATAAATCACTGTTTAAAAAAATCCACATCTATTACTATTATCTGAATTTTCTTTTATTTAAAACATTATGTTTAATTAGATGAAAGGTCTAATTTGGTTAAGAGCCCTGCACTGCATTAAGATTAATCACTTTCCAGAACATTTTAAACCTACATCATATTCCTTCAGGGCACTCTAGAAAACTGTTTTTTCCACAAGTATTTTTCACAAAATTCATCTCTCTTGGATGTGGCTATGAATGTCAAACTGTACACACAAAGGAAATGAAAACGTAGGAATGTGAATATTTTTATCATATCTTGTTTGTAAGGGCTTTGATTTTAGTCTGTAACACATGAACAAGGATTTTTAAACAAGCTGTGGCATAATTCAGGCCTGTACTGCAGGCCAGAAAATGTGCTCAGCAGATTCTGACAGATTCCAAAGTGCTGTACTGCACTTGTCTGACAGCCAACAGAAGTGCGTGAATTGCGTGCAAACAGCCATTTAGCAATCCATTTGGAAACATCTGGATTATAAACTCAGTATTTACATATAATCTTTTGTATAGCACTTAAAAGGATCATTCAAGTGTTCATAGGGAGCTCCCATATGTTTTATTATAATGTGGCATCTTACCAGACACGGGTCCACTGTTATTCCTCTTGCTTCAAGGTTCTTTCTGACAGTTGTCACTTCATCGTTTGCCAGATATGCTGCATGTTCTTCATTGCATTTGATTAACTTCTCAAGTTCATTTTTTGTTTCATTACGTATATTCTAGGAGCAGAATGATTAATTGGAACCGGTTATTTATGCACACAAAGACCATCATCATCACCTTCGTGACAAACAGACTGTGTCCTACTAAGTCAGAAGAGTGTCAAATACCTTCGACACTTTACTATTTTTATGTGAACCAAAAGCATATTTGTGCACAGACATGTCAAACAGAGTATTTATATATGGCTACTTAACCATCTATTTTATTATTATGCACAGAAATGTAGAAGAGGAATAGAAAGGTAGAAAAAAATCACAGGTGTTGCTGTCCATGAAGAGGAAAGGAGGCCAACAGGTATGGTCCACATTCATACATTAAATTATTAGACTGAGCTGCTCTGCAAGTCCCTACTTAGCTTTAAGCTGAAGTAGACATTCAGGCAAAAAAATTACCTGAAATTTAGTGTCATTTTTTTTTTTAATACTAACTGAATGAGAAAAAAAAAAAAACAAGCACACAAAGCGAGAAAAATAAGCAAAAAGCCCAAATAAACCAAACCACAGACTTTCTGATGCCTAGAAGAAGTGTCAGCTTTGCCTATTAGCTAGCAAGAAGTTCACATGGTCCTAAGTCCATGGCTTATATCTTTAAGTTGTCTTTCATTAGCTTCAACCTAAGTAGGTTGACATGACTACCTTTCTTCCATACCTGGCTGCACAGTTGACCATAAAACTCCCTCCTAAGAATCAATTACTATCTACTGTATTCTTTTAAATTCTACTTACTTCTTTTAAGTATGACTCGGTTTCAGAAATATCTAGAAAAAGTAACATAAAAACCCTTCATCACTGAGCGCTGAAAGTGCAATTTAAACTCAAAAGCAGCAAACTCCAGAGGCTCTGAGCAAGTGAGAAGTGATGAAAGTAGTCAATCCGAAGATACAACTGTGATAACAGCAGTGATAATGCTATCACATACTAATGAAATACAGATGGAGCTCTGTGAGGAAACTGCACGAGACTTCTGCTTAGTAGTGAGTTTTGCTCTGTGCTTGAAAAAAAAAAAAATACACAGGAAAATAACTTGCATCTTGCTTTCATCAGTTTCTCTCTACTGAAAGAATAATATGCAGCTCAATAGCATATTAGTAAGGATGTAATTCAACTGAAAAGCGGTTTAAAACTCAGAATCTATCTGTAATACGAAACAAAAATATAGAATTATTTGTGGTATAAATAAAATTTAATAAAGAGAGAAAGCAGTTGCAAACAAGATTTAATTCTAAATCCCGAAAATTGTGTGAAAAGGGTATGTATTTTTGAAAACTCACCTAAGTAATGTAAGTTTTCTAAATGTTGGGAACTACCATTTTATTTTTTGTTATTATTTTTTAACTCTTGCCCCTGCCTCCTCCTTTTACCTGTTCTTTGGTGCGGCCTATCCAGTATAGCCACCTCTTCCTCCAATCTGGACCCACCATATCTTCAATAACAGATTCAGCTAAAAAAGGAAATATGAAGTATCATATGAAATATATGGAACCAGCCAAAAGCATATTTCTGAAGTTGGATACAAGATCAAGAATGAATACTTCATGCTACAGGTCAGATATCTTTTGGCAAAAATTAAGAAATGGCTGCCAATAAGAACTGGTACTTCAAAGCAGCGCGTAAGAAGCAAGACAGCACTCTAAGTTTCGAGTCAGGAGCTTCAAATCTTACTTCCTGCAACTTGCATCAAAATTAAATTTTGTTTGATAACCTAACAGGACCAACTATTTTGCTGAATGTATGCAACCCCTTCACAAATTTCTCTGCACCTCTTCTTTCATTCTCTGTATTTCTATCATTTATCTTCCAACCACCTTACTGTAAGAGGAAGAGCAGTAGCTTATTCAGGCTGTATTCTGACATTTGTATTGTATCAGTGCCACCTCAAACCATCCCTACTACCTCAAGTTATGCTTGTACAAAAGCTTGCACTGCAGTGATGAGGAATCTGGCTCAGACTAAAAACGTGACTGGAAGACATCACACAACTCACTGTCCTTGAGACGACTTTGGAGAGTCTCCTCCATAAAATGAATAGCTGCATCCCACTGCTGTTTATCAGATATTGACCGATCTTCCAAGGCATTGTGCTGGATCACTCGCTGCAATGCAGAACATCTTTTTAGCATAAAATATGTAATTTATTCAGGATATTATAAAAAACAAACAAAAACCAACCAAAAAAACCCAAAAAAACAATATGAAACCCCTTCAGATTATAGCATCTTTAACAACAGCAGTGAAATGCTGTTGCTTCATGTGGCTAAGGCAAATAAGTCAATAGTGAATTCCCACAAGGCTGCCCTTAGGCGGCCAGGGAATTATAGAGGGCTTTTTTCCTGAACAAAAAAAAGACAATTTTATTAGATGTTATTTTGGGCAACAGTTAACAAAAGATAATCATAAGGTGAATTGAGAAACACTGACTTTCATAGAAAAGGAGATGATTACATTCCCCTATCATTTTATGATCACATTAAAAGAACCAAAAAATACTGAGCATGCAACTTATCAAATGATTTCAACAGCACTTAGTCAACAATATGAAAAAACCCACTACGTTATACCAGACTATCCTCTGCTCTCTCATTCCATTTATGGCGTTTAATGGTTTCTTCCTTGACAGCTTGTTTCAGTTTATCAAAGATATCATCATGCTCTTTTCCTTTTTGTTCTGTCATGAAACGGGAAAATTCTTCTTGCAAAGTCTCCCATGCCACCTAGAAAGTTAGCAGACAATAACTACCCTTATACTGACCATAGAACCATGCATCAATCAGTAGAGCAACATTTGCTACAGTTCCTACACCAATCTGTGTACAGTCTGAAAATAATGCACAAGCATATAGTACTGACTTTTCACTTGCTAACTTATCCATTACTAAAAAGGTCAATGCTGACATTTACTTCATTATGTAGCAGGTGAAATTCTGTTAAAATTGCATGAATCTATTCAATATAAACAAGCAGTGCAAAGGATGCAAGTTTTCAGAATGAGGACTGGTGGTGGCTTATTTGTTGATTTTTTGTTGTTGGTGGTGTTTTTATTTGGGGTGGATGGAGTGGTGTCTTTAGCAGGGAAATTCACCAGAAGAATGAAACATATCAATCCTGCTGTATATGCTTCTTGATAGCAAGATCACAGTAGCCTTCTGTGACATGCAAGCTGGATAGAACAACTGTAGGTAGCCTTTCAAACAATGCCTTTACCTCTCTGGATCTATGTTTTCATGTTATGACTCTGCACATTTTTTAAAATACAAGATACGGTAAATAAGAAAATGAAGCAAATCTTAATTTACAGAGCTGAAATATCTTAATTTGACTAAATTCAAACCTCTACTGCTTTATTTGGCAGTTGCTTGTCAGTCCACTGCTTCAGTTTGATGTCCACAGTGGTGTTAAATGTCCCTGAGTTCATTGTCTGTGCTGCTGGAAGGTAGATATTCTCAATCACATGAGTAGATACCCTCTCCCATAACATCTTCTGAAGAATCTCCTCCCTAAAATGCAAAGTTTTAACACTTATGATGGCTTCCAATACAAAACCGTCTAACGAGCATACATTCAATTTGCCAGAAATCCTGACAGAAGATCACAGAACACAGAAAGTACTCCTTAACATCACTGAATATCTTCAACCAACATCTGCTTAGAACTAAGGACAAAGCTACGCATTTTTCTCCCAGAAGAGACAGCTTTGGAAGTTCACCTTCACAAGGGTTTTGGCTCCTTCTGCACAATAAGGTCTCCTTGCACCTTTTAAACAGTAACAGAAGCATGCAGAACTGTGTGTGCATATGCACAGCAAGCGGGGGAAAGAGCAATGGAGCAGACTGTAAAGCATTGAAGCAATTTAACTAATAAGTCCATGCCTCCATAACAAAGCATGTAGGTTTTGTTTCTGTTGCATTCCAATTTCTTTGCTGGAACAAGCTGTGGTTTTCCATCTGAGGTTTTCATTGATTGCTCCCAGATTTGATAAACAATGAAGCAAGTTGCAAAGTCCAACCTATTACTAAGATGTGCACTGACATTCATTTACAAACATGCCTCAAGTTACTATAAAACTAAGCACCACTTTCCTATGTATGATGTGTTTCAAGAAATAACAATGGAAACAATCTCACTGCAACGTCTTAAAATGACAGTAAACTTACTCAGGAAACTTTGCAGCTGCAGTGAACCAACTCCGGCAAACCAGTGTTACTGGCTGTAATATCCAATACCCACAGAGGCAGTCATCTCCTCTCTGCTCCCCATGGTCTCCAGAACAAGTTGTAGTTTCTTTGCCAGTTAATTTTACACTAGCTCAGCATGCTAAATCAGCTTACCATTGGGTTGTAAGAATGACAGATTTGGTGGAACAGTGGAAATGAAGAGCCCAAGACTAAAACCACCTTCTGTGGTGATACAGGACTAGCAGAATCACTCAAGTCCTTTTCCTATAACCAGGTTAAAGTTCAGGACACAAACCCCATTCTCTGATAACATCCTCACTCCAGGACATCTTTGCCCATCTCCAAAGGGCATCTTTGGAGAAAGACTGAGGAACATTTCACATATACTACTTCTCTTTGCTACATCCAATCAAACAATTGGAAGGAACTGAAATTCTAGTAGAACAGAATCATCTGTATTCATCAAAAGCACCGCTGGCTTTAGGCTGCCTGTAATTGCCAATAAGAGTAATTTTTGTGACACAGGCATCTAACTCTACTTTATAGCTCATGAGGTGCTATAAAACTAGAATCACCTCTATATGCTAACTCTCAAAAGAAGCACATAGAAACATCTATGTTATGCACCCACCTAATCCACAACAAATGTAAAGAGGGTACTTCAGCATTACTACACAGCCAATAGCAGCAAATACCAAAATGGCAAAACCACATTATGTTTGGACTGCAACACAATTTCAGACTTCTATAGCTCTTAAATCACCTCCTCTGCTCACATCAGCATGCCTAGACTTACTATAATGTCATTAAGAGCAAGACATATTACCTCATTTCTTAATCAACGACCAAGAAGCAGCTCATTTCTTGTAATTGAAAGCAAAGGCATTAAAGGAAATTTTGTGATTGTCAGTTGCAGTACAGGCTGTCAGAGTAATCCAAACACGGGCTGCTTTCCTCCCGGCCTGCATCTCCACTGACTTTACTAGACAATAACGCTACACTGTTAAAACACATCTGCCAAATACTCTCTTTCCCAGCCACGTCTGCCTTACAGACAAGGGTAGCATATAAAGGTGCTTCATATAGGCAAAGAGATACTACATGCAGGATGAAATTCTCAAACATCCAGGTTAGCTATTCTAAAAACCAAGAATTAAATGTTTCAGCTTCCAAATCTCTGATTGACAGAGGTTTGGAAATACAAAGTTTATTTCCTCCCACCTCAAGGTGTTACATATTATTTTGACTGGCACTGTGGTAGAAAACTGGAAGTTATGAAGGATTACTGATTCAAATGAACATCCTAACACATCTTTATTACAATTACTCCCTTTCATTTTTGTGAAACATTTATTGTTCAAACATGAACTGACACACAATTCTTGTAAGTGGATTCCACAAATATGTGCTAACCTAAACACTTCCAGATGCACAAGAGAAAAAGTAATACATTGCCCCAAGAAAAGAATCTCCTTATTGATGTTGGATAATTTTATTAATAAAAATACTTCGTATTTTAAAGCTAAATTTCTGCAAGACAACTAGAAACTGAAAAGTTACCATACCAGTGCTTTGGTGTGACCTGAGTCAGACTTATGACTTCATCAAGAATCTCATTCTTTGCTTTTTCAAACAGTTCATTCTGAGAAAAAGGAAAAAATAAGAAATAATATGATTTTAATTTTGTTTTTATTTTTACAGTTCGGTCCTATTTTGAATCAAAGAGTAACAAAAATGTGTTCTTTGAGCATTTGAGCCTAAAATGGCACTCTCTGGTTATGCTCTGAACAATGTAAGTGCTTGTCATAAGCTACCCTGGTTTACCATGCATCATGCCAGGCATGGCATTTGAACATTCAGTCTCTAAGAAAGAATTAGAGAATGGGATCATAACTGTTTTGTTACTCTGACTGAAAGAACAGGGAATGTAAATCTGTGCCATTTCAATTTATCACGATCACAAAGAAACAGATGTATCCCTGTGGGCAAGTTAGGTCAATTAACTATATGCTACAAGAGTGAAGGACTTGTTAAGCATTAAATTACCACAGTTTTGAGGCACATTACTTCACACAATGTGAGAACTCTCTATTTCCTTCCCCTAGGATAATTTATACTGTCCTCGCATTGTAAAGTGTTGGTAATTTATGCTAACTTTAAGAAACCTTTACAAACAAGATTAAATGGAATGAATTTTAATTCACACAGTCTTTGCAGCATACAAGTAGCATACAAGTTAAAGCAGTAATGTCATTTACCCTGTCAAGCTCTCGCAACCGCGGGTAATTGTTCTTCCATTCTGTCTCAAGATTGAAACGTGTGGCTGCAAAGAGAAAAATCAGAAAACAAGACTTCATTATTAACCAGTCTATATGCACTGCATGACTATTTTAAAAGTTTAGGAGTTATGAAAATTACCATCAATCTTGCTTAGGACAGATCCTCAAAAAATTCAAAATGGATCAGTAAATGGATGACAGTTTTTGCTGACTGTCCTATCTATTGACTTTTCTGGCATTTATAATAAGTGAATCCTTTATTTTGTGAATTATTTTTATATACTTTTGGAAAGATTAATTGGGGCAATTACCACCTTGTGAGAAGCAGTCATTTAAAGTATGAAACAACTGTCCAAGCATACCAGCAAAGCATGATAGTAGAAGAACTCTGTAACTCAAATTGCTATTTCACTTTTTCTTTTGAAGACATTTACCTTTAAAAGCATCTGCTTGCTGCTCCACAGACTCTCTCACCATTTTCCAAAAGCAATCTGACACAGCTAGACTTAAGTTCTTTGTTGTTACTTGATGTGCCTTCAGCATGCAGGTTCTGTAAAGGAAGACAGCAATAGGAATTTTTTTCCATGCATACTCTGTTTCCGGGATTTCGTTTTCTCTTCACAAGGAAAAAGCTTTGTTTTTTGCAGCAAAGGATAACTCATCCAAATGCACCTAACCTAAATTCATTCTCTTCCTCCAACACATATTCAATACACAATCATCAATTCAAGGTGCAAAAGATGTAACAAATCCTTTCATTCTAGAAAATGCAGTGTTAGGGACTGCAGTCCCACTGACCACAAACCTCCCTTTCATGAGTGGAAGCCCAAGCTTGTCAAATCAAAACTCTTCCACCTCAATGAACTTCCTGCAAACCATATAAAACTATGCTTCGAATACAACATTGCTGTCACAACAAGAAGACTGCTATTTACAAGCACTCACATCAGGGCTGGATTCATTCCTCCCAGCAGTATCAAATCTCCAGACATAGTCTGGGAACTAGTTCATCTAGAACCTCTGGAGAGAGGCTCAGAACTACAGGAAAATCAATTGCTGCTTGAAGATACCTCTCTGTCCGTGTGAGTGTTAATAAACCAGGCAAGCATGGTCATCTCAGCAAGCTACTTAGTTTCAGCAGAATGCATCTCAAATAGCACTCCTGCACTGCGGTCCCTAATAATATGTTCAACAAGAAAATCAAACTCGAGCATTTATAACAAGGGCCCAGTTTAGTAAAAGGAATAAAATCCCAACATACTTCAACAGCTTGGAATTTTGAAAAAATTCCTCTTCGTACTCTTTAATAGATTCAATGCTTTCACTGCTGTTCCCTGGAGAAAGAAAAAAGTGCTGCAACAGTTCTATTTAGACAGTTCTCCCTGCTAAGAAAAAAATATGTAGAGCCAGAACTCTACTTACCTTTTCCAGTAACAACTGCAAAATAACCCAAAGCTTTCATCGGGAAGAGTTTGCCTTCAATTATTTGCTGGATCTATGAAGATAAAGGATTAAAAAAAAAAAAAAAAGGTAATTTTGCACAGGCATTCTTTGCCTCATGCACTTTTAGAGCCAACCTTATTTATATGTATGCATAAATTACTATATATAAAGGATTTCATTAGACGGCTGTAAGTTCTATCGATACTTAAAGAAATTAATTTAATATAAAAAGGCCATCCGTACAACAAATAAAGCATATCACAAAACACAAAATAAAGTAAAAAAGCCTACTCCAAAATACCCTGAAGCCTTTGGAACAGGTTCCATTTCCCAGAGGTAACCTGCCAGAAAGCATGCTGCAGCCAAGCTGTGACTTCAAGTCATGTTGCTGACATGACTAAGAGATACTATAACAGCAGCCATTAAAAATAATAATAATAATAATAATAATAATAATAATATATATATCACTGCGTATAGAAATAAGCACTCAAAAATATCTAGGACAGGTAGGCAAAGTCCAGTGTTTTGACAGAACTACAACTATTTTGTGCATGACTTCAGCCATCATAATACGAAAAAAATAGTTTCCACTCACCCTGCTTGGGCTAGCCACATTTTTCTCAGCAAGATCAACTTTAGTCAGCACAAAAATTGTCCTTTTTCCCTGGGGATCCATTTGGCTGACTAAGTCTGTGACAATACTGCGTTCTGCATCCACAGATCCATCTAAAATAAACAGTTATATTTTAGAATCTATGTAATCTGACTCACATGAGCAAATATACAATAAGCATTAAATATGTTTCAGATTACAACTTAAGAAACAGTAAAAACTAAATCTATGTGTAACTTTTGGGTATGTACAGTGAACACTTGCTTCCTAGCATCATAAAGATTTCTGTTCACTGTACTCATATAAGTTGTATCCAGAATCGCTTTAGGAGGAATCTTGCATTTGATTACTACCATCATTTTCTATTTAATGATAAAAACCTTTTCAAAATTTCTTTTTGTCACTGACACTAAAGATGCCTTAACTTACAAACAGACATTTCACAGCATGAAGTTTTGTATGCCATATGAACTGCCACCCATGGAGAAAAGAAGATTCAATTGAGAACATTCCAAAAGGAATATAGGAATAAGAATTAAAACATTCTGCCACTTCGATATTTATTTATACTGTTATTACCTTGAATACAAAGGATGATGGCATTTGGATTCTGCATGTAGGCCTTGCTGATGCTAAAGATTGTTTCCTTTGTATCTGGTGCCATCCCTGATGTCACAGTCTTTAATACATATATAGAGATATACATTAAAAGACAACAGAAAGATGTGAGAAAGAAAAAGAACAGTTGATCAGCAATAGCAGTACTTAATTTACAGAACTTAAAGTTTTTTTTTTTTTTTTTTTTTTTTTAATGCATACTTACACTAATGACTCCAGGTAAATCAACCAATACCATTCTCTGTAAACCAGGACCTTTCACACTTAAGGAGATAGTCTGTGCAATAAAATTGAAATGACATGTTTATACAAACACATACCTACTTTGTCAATAGCTAACATACATGCATATACATAAAAATTATACATACTGACATACACATCTAGCAACAGCCTTCACTTTTAAATAGGAAATCAGATTTTATATGCGCACATTTATGACAGAAAACTGATTTTAACAATTCAAATACAGTTTGTATGGAACAAAGAGACAAATCAGATTCATCACAGTATCTTAATTAAACACTTACAAAAGATATACACGTACACATATTTGCCACTAAATATGTGACCAACCTTACCTCAGTGCTAACAGTGCACCCCTCCTTCACACTATTTCGCATTCTGATTTCTATCTCGTTCCTCAGAGCTGCAAGCTGTTTCAAGAAAAATTAGAACATCAAATGTATTTCAATATCAAATTTCCCCAACTGTGATAGGAGAAAAATCACAAACATTAGTAAAAAAAAGTTTACTTAGGGATTGTTCAAGATCTGCTTATAAACATAAAGTAGTATGTTTATAAACACAGAACAATTATGTCTCAAATGCACCAGGAAAGCATCATGCATGGTGAATAACTAGTTTGGTAAAATGTGGCACTACAGCAGATTGCCTGCAGAGTCTTGCACACTCCCCCCCCCCCCCCCAACATCCTTCCCATCTAAGTGCTAGTAAAAAATCATATTAAGTGCTACTTTAATATCTAATATAATGCTTTGCTCCACTCAACATATCTTATTCTAGCTAAACAGGAGCAAACAGCCCATAAAGATACACAGTTTTTCAGAAAATTAATCAAAATATTGTTAACTTCCAGCTACCTCTTTATACTTACATCCTCTTCTTTGGTCAGATCAAACTCCCGAGAGCTGTCTTTGAATAAAGCCACGTGGTGAGGACCTTCACTAAGAGTTACCTAAATGGTAAAAGCTTTACTTGAGATAGAATGTTAAATGCAACACAGAGTAACATTAGAAGTACGTATGCATACTTCTGACTGCAGACATACAGCTTTTGAAAGCTTGCTTAGCAGAAAATTATTGTGGGGGCTGCAAACACAGGAGCACTTACAGAGGCAGTAAAATATGGCACGTGTCGATTCAGAGATTAAGCTTCTTACCTTGACAGGGGAACGTGTCATCATCTCTCCAGACCCTCTGGGGAATATTCGGGCTTGAGCAATCATCTCTAACACGCTTGTTTTTCCTGCACTTTGATCTCCAACGACTACCACCTTAAGAGAGAATTTAAACAGCACAATATTTTGGAAGCTCACAAAACAGACTAGAAGTATGTTAATTCATGCCAATACTAGCTGTATGATGTTTGACAATAAATGCATTCATCTAAATAAGGAATTATTGAAGAAATGCTACCTTTTATTCATGTAAGAACTTTGATATTTTTTTTTCCTCCGAACAGCTCAGTCCACAAAGTTCTTCGTCTGCCAGGCCATCTAATGACAGGTGGAAGGGCTTGCTAATCTCATAACAGCCAGTGCTTTACAGCTTGTGCATAATTGTTTCAGCTAGGTGAAAGGTTAAAAATTACTCATTGGTAAGATCTGCTTCTGCACACAGAAGCCTAAGTTGTAATGAGCTGCTGTCACTTCTGTCTCACCAGCACATTATAGAAGCTGCCAATGCCACAGGAGGCTGTATAAGACAGCAGCAGCACTACAGTGGGAAATCACCAGGGATACCTTTACCTTCTCAACTCTGCTGGTACAGAGCCTGAAAACAGCACGTATTTTACAATGCTGAAAGAGCAGGGAACACCAGCTAAGACCTTTCAAAATAAAAGGTTGAGCAATGCAACAATATCCACATCTAGGTAGGGCTTTACATATAAGTCAAAGCAGACCTGACATACCTGTATTGATTACTCTCAAAAATTCAACATTTTAAATGGAGAATATACTTCAAAGCAAAAACTCTGGCCTAGCTAACTCTGGGTTACACTTACCTGTTCTATCCAATTAGAAAATAGGACTTTCAGTAAAACAAAGACTTACTCGAGGTAGATGATCTTGAGTGTTATAGCTGGCATCATAATCAGACAGGATATCCAGTACTTCAGAATACATATCAATCAAAGATTTCTACAAGAGTAAAAAGAGAACCCTCAGCTTATTGACAGAACTGATTGGGTTTCAGCTGTATATACTGTAAATTCATCTGTAAAAGCATGTTTACTCTATCCTTACTATTTGATCCATAAACTATCCATACTGCAGCACATTATCAAGTAGCCACCTTTTGCATCCATGGATGAACACACTATAACTACAGCTGCAGGTGCTTCTTCCTGAAAGAGCAAAATATGGGCTCTCATATACAGCATGAGAGCATTCAGGTTTCACAGCTTCCAAGTTGCAAAGCTGAACTAGATTTCTTCCACTAAAAATCCAGACAAGATTTCAGCCTGTTGAACAGTAAATATTAAGAAAGGTTACGAACTATCAACTTCATTCTATAAAAGTAGGAGCTCTGTGTCTTACAGCTACTAGAGAAAGAAGATCCATATGGACCAGCAAGTGACAGAAGAAGAAGCAGAAAAATGGGCAGGAGGAGTTGGAAGCATATCTATTAACAAATATAGCAAAAATATATTAAAAAGAACAAAAACCAAAAACCAAAACCAAACCACAATCCATATTTCCCACTTAGATAAATTATTTAGCTAGAACAGATAATCTGGGTATGCTCTTCAACTGAATTTCTGGAAGTAACTCTTTAAAGATGTTAACATACAAAAGCTTTAACATGTAAAAAAAAAAAAAAAATTAGCATAGAAATGTTGTAATAAATGCTGAATGTTGATATATGCATTAATAAACAAAACTTAGTGCAACTGTAATTCTAAACTGATGGTTAACAAATGTGTACCTTTAACTTTCTCTGATGAATTCCTTTGTCATCTCTTTGCAGTACCAGTTTTCTTAATTCTTTGTTCTCTTTCTCTAATCGCTCAAGCATTCGTTGGTATTTTAGCTACAAAACAGTTACACATATATTGCTGTAATTATGGAAATAGCACAGTTTAACAACATTTTACCTATGAAAAATGTATATTCGCTCAAGCAAGTCTCTAAAAAATATACAGAAACCTTTGTAGTCATCTAGTTTCATTAAAATAGAAGGCAAGAGAAAACCCTTAGAATTTATTTAATTTTTTAAAGCAACACAACCCCTCTTCTTCAAAGGTTTTAGTAAGAACACAATATCAAACCAGAGGACAAAATTCAATATTTAACTACCTTTGACCTACAGATACGCAGTTAGAGATAAATTAATGGTAAAGGGAACTCCTGCTCCTCAGAGATCACCCAGGGCCTAAATACGAATTTGCAAATTCAGTCTAGATGCTTCCTTAAAAATACATCCTTGATGCAAGAAAAAACTGTGCCAGTTCAGTCCTTTTGCAGACCCAGATTATAGTATTCTGCTGAAGATGAGATATGCACACAGTTGTGATACCTACTCTGAAAACTTGTTTACAAAGTTATGATGAAGATGAATGTCTACCATCAGTAAGTCAGAAAAGTTACCTGAGTGCGCAGAAGCTCTTCCTGAAGTTGATCAATCTTCTCTTTGTCAGAAACCTATGAAGAGAAATAATCACAGCTACTAACATGTTGTTCAGCTAAGTAACAGATTCACAAACTAAAAGCTCCATTCCACGTAAGGAAATTGACTTCACGTGCATTTTAAAGCAACTAAGATTTAATTTGCACTCAAAATTTAACGTTGATGAAAAGTTCCATCTGCAACAGGAGGAGCACAGGGAAAGGTCTCAACTCCAGTGCATGCAAATGCCAAACTAACCTTTCAAGACTAAGTACTAGGAGTGTGGGCTCTGGGAAAAGCAAAGCTAAGTATGGTGCTAAGAGCTCTCTAGCCATTGGCCTCAATAGACTTTTGTAGTCAAATTCTCATCATCTTCCATGTTCATGTCCTGAATTAGCAGGAACTTCATATACAGTTACTAAAACATCTCTCTGCCACAAAAATGACCTCCAAGTGAGGATTTACTACTGCTGAAACCTGATGAGGAATTTTATTTCATATTTTTTGTTCAGAATTATTATCTTAAACCACTGTGCTCAACTTCATAAATTGTAGTTAGCCAGGATAGTCTTGGAAGGTTATTTTAGAATTATTTGAATTACAGTATAGTAGAAAAATTAGGATTTTATAATAAAACATTTTGTAGTTCAAGTCATAAAAGACATTTTTCATCAAATACTTCTCGAACAGATTCATCAAGATGTCAAACAGCTGTTCAAAAGAATCAAGTTTTAACAGCACAAAAACAAACCTCTGATGGAAATTGTTACAAGAAACATGAAACCTAATGGTTGACAGACGAAATATTAAATTTAGGAAAAAAAAGATCAATACAGTTATTTAAGGAATGATATAGGCAAAAGCTTAAGATTTAAAGCTTGTAACATTCACAACTCGAGTTAGCTTCACATCAGAAAGAGCAATTATCGAACACGCAGAGGACATCTGTCATTTTAGCAGACAAATCAATTTAGTTACTATAATTTCACTTTAGTTGTTACAGATTAAACAACAAATCACAGTTATCCATACAGGCTGATATAATTAGAGCACTAAACCTGTAATATACAGGATCATGTATGCACTTTATAGGAAGCAATTCATGCTGACATTTCCATCTACATCCAATTTTTTTCCTTATTCACAAGCGGCAAAGGGGAAGTACAGCAAATTAACTTTTCCTCTTCTCTGCTAATTAGTTAAATGATAGCAAGTGCATCGGAAAGAGAACTTTAGCACACAGAGAAATCGATTCCTGCACCAACAGCACAGGTATATTTACATATACCTACACTTCAAACACCTCAGAGACGTAAGGGGAAAATAAAACAGAAGGACAAAGAGTGGTGAAGGGGGCCAGGAAAAGAAAACAAAGGAAAGAAAAGGTAAACAAAGTGGTTCCATGTAGTGTAGAATTTCAAAGCGACTAGAATCTTCCATTCCCTAAGAAAGATCTTTCTAAAAGTGCTTCTGGAGCCTTGCTGCACTTTTGATGTGCACACTTACTGCTAATCTCATGAGCACTGTCATGTGCAACACATTTATGTTAGATGCAGCAAACAAAAACATTGCAGTCAGCTACGTGTTGCAAGATCTGAAGCAAAGAATTATCTAGCAGTAGATGAGAATTCTATCAAGGACAATTAGGTAACATGAAAAGTAATGAGCAGCTCTAAACCAATACATATGCTTCAGCATTTTGTCCAGGTGTGCTTTGAATATTTGGCTACAATTAATACATACAGTGCTTTCAACATACACTTCGATATATTCCTAACTGCTCTGTAATTTCCAAAGAAAGTTAAAACTACCATAACATTCTTAATTACTAACAATTAATCTAAGATTTCTATTCAATTTTGGAAGAATGATGAAAAAGTAACTGTTCAAATTACCTCTGCAATAAGCACACACCCCAATATTTGTCTAATTCAGTTCAGTGAGGTCTGGACGTTGAGATGCTTCCTCCTTTCCGCAACGCTACCGTAAATATTCATAGTTAAATAAAAAACTGTACCATCATGTTAACCAGGGATTCTTGCATGCGAGATGCAGAAACTTATTTATTAAGGTGAGCAGAAGCTCCTATTTTATTCTTTTAATGAGGCACTTGTTTTGCACAGCAGCTGCTTTCCAGCAACCTTCATGCCATATTGTATAAAACAAGTAAGCGCCCCTGAAAATTCGATACAGTTAATTGGTTTTGTGTATAAACTATAGAGTATAACCATAAACAGACTATAAACAATTCTAAAATTATCACCTATAGAAGAACCACAATGATTTCCAGTAATAGAAATGAAAATCAAGACTTGGACATAATATACATATGAAACAGCCATGCGCATTGCAGCTAAAGAAATCAATTACACTGCTACATGTTTATCAAAAGATTGACAAAAAAAAAAAAATCAGCAAGAGTCCATTACACTTTCGCTTTTACTCCCTACCATGATTGTAAGTTGAATAACAGTACTAATTATCTCACAGTTGAGGATACCTTAGCATTGAATAATTAAATCAAAGTGGAAAACATGCAAGTAAATCAACTTCGGAGAATAGAAACAATCATTTTCTCCAGTGGGCAGGCAAGCAAAGCCAATTAAATTTAAAAATAAATGTTAATTTATGCCCTGCAAAAATGGCATTTAGTAACTAATTTCAGTGACAATAACAATTTCTTCTTCCAAAGGAGAATTTGCATCAGTATTTGGAATCATTGGAAGTTATGTCTTCACATCAAGGTGTGAAGGAAAATGGTTTATCACATTTTTTTGTTATAAGAAGGAAACTTAATTAAAAAAAAAAAAGATTTTTGCCTCCAACTCCCTTTACAGGTCGATGCATTTTTCGTATATCAAATACTGTACTGCTCTTCCTGCAACTTCTACATCTTCATATAAACTTCAAGCTACTACTGCATATTCAGTTACCTCAACAAAGTGTACACAGTCTGACACAGGCTGAAGGAATTACTTTTACTGAAAAGTGAAACACCAGAATATTTAGGCCCCAGAAGACCTCTCCTCCTCCTTTAATAAATACATATCTGAAAGGGAATCAATGCAAGGATGAAAATAAAGAAGATGTTATTTTAAATCCAAAGAGACTATAAGTTTCATAAATCTGAAAAAGGAAATGTATTGAAAAAATCATATCATCATCTTTTTCTTGAATTATTAAAGTAAGATTGACAGTTTAGAGTGATCATGGGTTGCAAATCTAAATTATAAAAATACGTATAATTACAAGAAAACAAAATACTTAAAAAGCTACTATAGTTTCAGCGAACAAATTGATTAAAGTAACTGTCCCCATTAAAAGACTAAAAATAATGGCCAGCTGAAGTTATGGAATGATGTCTAAACTGATAAGATCATAAAAGAAGTACGCAAATCCACAAGGAGGTGTTCAGCAACCACATCATATCAATACAGAGCATGCTTTAAGAGGGTCAACAGCCAAAGGAATAGCTTGGATGAACACAGTTTTGAACAGGAGTATTGACTGCCTGCGCGAATTTGCTTCTAAAGAGCTGCTGCTACTTTCAAACTGGTAACACTGTAAATTGGGAATACGCTGTTGCCAGAGAGCAGCTGCAAAGAGCTGAACTTCTGTAAGACAAAGCCACAGTAAGCAAGCAGCAGCAGAGCAAGCATTGTCATTCCTCCCCATTCTTTCCTTATATGCACTTGTCAATATATGAACTCCAAGTAACAGGTTTCACAGAGGCACAGCACGCAGTTTCAAAGTGACACAAACATTTGTTCTGCTTTTCATACTTAAAAGCAACTCGGTTAAACTGAAACAGGATTATACACCTGTACTGAATATATGAATAATTACTTTGACCTGTAATTCAAGTGTTAGATTTCCTTTTAGTTCAAGGACAGGAGGCTGAAGTATTCAATTAGTGTGAATACAGAATATTTGTCCCTTAAGCCATCACCTTTCGCTTCTGCTGGTACGAGCCCGGGTTATATTGGCCAGCGGCTCTGCGCGCCTCCTCTTCGTGCTGCTGGATTTGTTGTTGTAACAGAATGAGTTCACCAAGCAGGCCCTGCCATGAGTTTGTCATAAAAAGGAAAGGAAAAATTGCGGGTGTAAGGAGAATGAAGTTAAACCAAAGGGCACGACAAAGACAGGTGAAAAACAGGTCTGAGAACGGGTCGGTTCAGACAAAAGTGAAATTTCATTAGCAAGATCTCTTGCTAGCTAGCTGGGACTGGATACAGCCAGCAGAACCAGGCATCTTGCAAGTCCTGGTAGAACAACGTTATAAAACATTTAGCTATATTTTATAACTGGATTCAACATTAAATAAGTACCTAAACCTCATAAAGATAAAATTGAACCAAAATCACCTTAAGGCGTTGTCCAATGGCTCAGGATTTCATTTCAGTTGTTTATACCAAACAAGTATCAACAATTTGTCACAACTTAACTGCAAATATTCAAACAGAGTTTTGGTAGCCCTGCAGAAAGTGGTGCACAAAAGTTAAACTGGTTCAACTCCTGCCAGAAATGCAAGAGTTTCCATTTCTTTCTTGCTCTCAGAAATGCAGAGGCTGTACAGAAAGATGACTTCTCCTGCTACTTAGCCTTCAAGAGAAGTAAAATAGTTTCTTGAGCATAAAGAAAAAGCCCTCACTTCCATAACATCCCAGTTTATAATGTTACTGTAATCCTTCCTGATCAAAATCCTCACAACCTAATGTTTATTTCTTTACTTGTTCAGCATTTTCATGAAGTTTAGATTTCTCCTCTCTCCAAAATAAAATTCCTTTAGGTTGTCTTTCCACACTGGTTCAAAGATGCTACGCGATCTTTGGGACAAATTATTTCAGATAATGCAGTTACAAATAATAATAAAATATTCAAATAAAAATAGCTGGAACAGATCTTGGAATAAAACTTTGGTGTAAAGAAATCAAGACATCTACCATCAATTTATACATCAGGTGCACAGGATACACACAGGCATGTACACATAGGGATAAATAACACAGGAGAAAATGGATAAAAGGAGAGACACAATCAAATGACCAAATGTAAACATGGGTTAAATACTGATTTGTATAACATTTCAAGAACAGAAAAAAATTCTCACATTTGTATTTCATTGAACTACAGAGAGATTTAATAAACCTCTCCATGATCAGATTAGCAAACATGTTAGAACTCTGCCAGGAAATTGGGCCAAACAGAAGCAAGCCATTCCATTTCACTTTCACTAAGTATCAAGGAGAGATACCCACGTAGCTACACAGTAATGTTTTACCATCCTACAAACAAGGAAGTTTTCACTATGATCTGACACCATTCTTCTACAAATTACACTGTAGATCAAGAAAATACAAGAAAAACACTGAACAAAACGTATCATAAAGGCCTTTTAGCATTTAAACAAGCACAGTAACAGAAAATGCTTGAAGTCACCATTGGATGTGAAATTGCTTTCTAGAACATCTGGTTTGCATAACTGTAGTAAAATATGAAAAACCTTTCTCAACTTTTTCAATTAACAGGATTTAAATTTACAATTAGTTTACAATCACTATCAATTATGAAAGAAACAACTGAAAGTAACACTAAGTGCACAAATTTGGTGGCACAAACTGTGCAGTCATCATGAGAATCTGAGCATGCAATAAGGACAGATGTTACAGTATCACTGCACATACTTGAAGAAACCCACAGCACACTGTTTGACATTAAGGGTTAATATGCAGTGATTCAGTTAAGCATGATAACCTTAACTTAAAAGGAACTCATGGCTAATGTAATGTGTGTCCTGTTTTCAGAAGAGGCCAAAACCCTGGCACTTGGTGTGCCTTGGCTCCTTCTATATTGCCTATCAGTGTCAGTGAAACAACAGGAGAAAAATTGACAATAAATCCCTGGCAGTAAAAATAATTAAGTGCTGAAGTAGGTAAAGGAGTGCAAATGGTGAGGAATGTAAAGAGACCAATTTCTGAGAATTTAAGTGAATGATGCCATTTTATCCAGTATTCATAACGTGAAACTCCTTTACATACATTGAGAACACAACTGCAATAATTTACAAGGTAATAAACCAACACAACTGAAAGAAGTTAAGAAAAGATTTAAAGTCTAACTGCAAGAGACAACCTGACAGCTATCCAGAAATTACCTCAAAACAGCCTTGGAAATGCATACAAACCAATTTACAAACATGGGGGCACCACTTTTCCTATGCACAAAATGTATGTTACAGAAAGGTACTGACAAGGGAAACAGCACTGCCTGATATCTGCAAATTTCTCTGCAGTAATATTACTATCAGTACATGACATGCAGACAGCTATTCTCTATTAGTTTTCAAGAGCTATTGATTCAACTTAATCAGCTTTTTTTTTTTTTTTTTTTTTTTTTATTTAAATTAATTTTTTTTTTTTTTTTTTTTTTTTGGCTCTATCAGCATTTGGCTTTGATTTCTTCCGATGCATGGAGCTTCTGAACTGCCTTAGACTATTCAATCACCATTCACCAAACATCTTCTGTTTCCTAGGTGCAGACTACTAACATAGGATGGAAGCTAATGCAAATGACAAAGACTGTAATTTCCTTTACTTATTCTCAGTTAGACACCAGCCAGTCAAATTACAGAGAAACAATCAGTGGAGAGCTGATCCTTCAGGATGTGTGAAGTTGTTGATGATTCATACAAAATGAAAATTTTCAAAAACAGCATTTGAGAAGTTAGGTTACAGTTTTTCTGAAAGATACAAGTGAAACTAAACCAATTATATAACAGAACTGGGACAAACTGGCAGTACAGCATTATTTTGAAAGAACTGCCACATGAAGGGTGGAACTGCTATCCAAGCCAAGTGGTATTCCTATTTCAAAGTCACTTTTTCATGTAGAATTGTTGTGTCCTTGCTTGCATTTAGTGAGGCTGACCACAGCAGATTACTCACTGCCAAATCCTTCACAGTGAATCGGGTTCTTAAGGCATGAGATTTCACCGTGGTACCAAAGGCAGAGAAATGACCGTGGCTGCTTTGGATTAACACAGACTGAATTATTTATTTACCCAGCTTTTAGGCCCCAAACCAATACCTGAGACAAACCTTTCACGCTCAATTCACAACAGATATAAGCAACTGTAAGTTGTCCCTATAAGCTTTCCCTATAAGCTTGGGTAAGCTTTGAAGTTTGCTTGCAATAGGCAGCTGAAACTCTCTAAGAAGGTGATGGTGGGTTGTTGGGTTTGTTTGTTTGTTTTCAAAGTTAGAAAATTATGTTGCAGTGTTTGTCTAAGAAAGCAACAAGAGCTTGAACCATTCCCACAACACAAAACAATACATTTCACTACACGAGAGCTTTTGTAACTAAACTCTTCCTCTGAAAGCAACATTTTCTACTTAAGCCATGTAGAGCAGCTTTAGATTCCATTTATTTTGATTACCTATCTGAACACTTCAATAATTTTAATTTTGTCTTCTTTTAAGAGCTGCACTTTTGTATCACATTAAAGATTACAAAATAAATTCCATTCCTTGGAAGAAATCAAACAGCCCGATTCCCTGTTCAGGACAATCTTTTTAGCTCTTTCTCTCACAGAATCATCTTACAAACTAATTTATTTCTCAGTCATTCTACAGGCAGTTTTCATAGCCCTGAGGACGATGCCCAGTAACAATTCCAGAGAACATTCTTCATGTGAGGATTCCCAAGGTATTTGCCAAATGTAACAATCAGATACAGCCCATCTGCCAACAAATAATACCATGCTATAGAATTCTGTGCATCAACACAATCACAACTCTTAGAATAGGATCGACTGACAGCAGAAAGCACTGTATGAATAAAGGGCCATCTTACCTATTGCCCAGAAAATGATATTGATTGCCAATAAAATGAATGACTGTGCCACCTCAGCTGTTTTTCACATATCTTTTTTGAAATATTACAACCAAAAGTTATCATACTAATTAGCAAAGCAACAGCTTCTGAGAGTAACTTGTTGGATGTAACTGGGATAATGACAATTATTACCCCACACAAAATTGCATAAATCCTACTGGTTTCATATGATCTGATATTTTATGCACTGCAGCCAAAGTTTGTTGCTAACATTAAAATGCAGTGACCCTTGTAAGTATAGTAAGTGTTACTGATAGTACTAGCAATCATTAACAAAAAAAATCTCAGTTAATTTACTTACTGAAAACAATGAATTACGATGACCATTTATTCACAAATCAACAGTAAAGAAGAGGTGCTTGGCTTTGTTTTTTAAAGTTTTATACAGAGAAACCTGTGCTAAGCAATCACTCAACGAAACAAAATATACAGGGACAGTTTATGACAGGGTGGAAACAAAGATCTAAATTTAGTTCTTATGTATAATTGTCAGCATTCCAAAGGGAAAAAAATACATAACAAGTGATCTTTGTACAGGTTTCACTATATATTGCCATGCAGAATTAATGTAGAATGTATACATGCCTGCATATACAGAAATGCCTTTTACATAAAGCCACATTGAAACTTCAGTAAATGCTAAATACTCAGTTGGAAAAATTTTTTTACAAATGTCCCCAAATTTATTATTTTCACTCTTTTTTCCCCCCCCCCCTTACAAAAGCAGCATACACAGGAAAAATGAAAAGCCTTCAAAAGAACGAACATCACCATTGAAAGATAACACCTACTTTTCATTAAAGGAAAAGATTAAATTTCACCTTTGTGACTTCAAGGAAAAATATTAAAACTTCAAAGTTATAAGGTAATCAGTTTTTTTAAAGGAAATCATAATAAAATGTGACTTTCTAAATAAACTAAAAGGACAGACTGCTTAAAGCAGTTCTTTACTGAGGCAAAGATCCTTAAACAAGGAATCACAACTGTGAACAGGACAGTGGAAATGAAGCTGCAAGCAGGAAAGCTTGCAAACAACTAGAAGCCTAAACAAACTTTGCCAGTACAGTATCAATTCAAATGCTACTGAGAATGCATTCAAAAAATATTCAAGTGCACACAAAAACCTAAATGACTTTCTTCTTACAAGCCAAGTTTCTGAAGAATGTCGTTCCTAAACAGTTTTATTGGCTGCCTTGAATTTTCCTTAGACCAAGATGTGTTTAGCACCATACTACTTATATATTAATGGCAAGAATTCATACTTGTCCTTTATCAAGCTGATTCAAATAAATATTTATACCAGCTATCGAAGAATTTGAAAACTACCTGCTGTCAAGACCTCTTTTTTCTATTTTTGCTAAAGAATAATTACCTTTTTGTACTGTTTGTCACCATCATAACCCTGGTCTGTAGCTCTGAATGCTGTTTCTCCTGGAGTACCTACAACATAGTTAGAGTAACTCGTTACAATAAGCAAAACACACTGAGATGTATTCAATCTACACCTATCCGATGTAAAACAAAAAAGTTTTAACCCCTGTTGTTAGTAAATCAGTGATGTTGTTATCAACCCAAGAAGATTTACTATAAACTGAAAGAGAAACTCAGTTTAGAATTCATCTGAAACTTATACCAAATACAGTTTGAGTGAAATCACTTATTATCAAAAGGAAGCAGGCAGATTCAGCTAGACAAATATTCTGAAACCTCTTTTTTTTTTTTAGTTACATATTTCTGAGGATAATACAAATTTCACTGGTGTTACCATCATGAAAAAAAATGTATCTATTCTTCGCTACAGTAATGATGCAGGTTTGCAAAGCAAGCTTCTTGGGATATGCCTGAAATAAAATGCATCAACTAAGAACTATGCCAGAGAAACACCAACAACTTGTTCTCTCAAGGGTGGATCTATTTGGAAGGTATTTGTAATGCAAAACAAAACACAGTGAATAGCTGTGTTCACATCGACATCCACTGCTCTTGGCACAGCGGTGTCTTAAGAGCTGGCTTTAAGGAGGCAGGTTAAGGGCAGTAAAAAGGGCTTTTACACACCTAACAACAGAAGTAGATCAGAAGCTCCTATGACTTCACTAACCAAATTGTAACCTGTGAAAAATCAGCAGAAGAGGGGAAATAAAAATTATATATACAAAGCAAAATGCAAACCAAAGATGAGGGATCTTTGTCTCATTTGGGGGACAACAAAAGTGTAAGTGCTAACTATGCCCATGTGAGTATGGTAGCAAATCCCACTAGAATAGGTGATATCTCACAGTACTAGTCAATTAAACACATTTTTAAACAGCCAAAGCACAAAGGAGATTGTCATCTACTTGTCAGTCTGTTGACCTTGATCCTGCTGAGTTTGTAATGAGATGAATCAACTATTTCTACCATTAACAGTATTTTAAGAAAAGGAAAACACACTTCTGAGGTAGACTGATAGGTAAATATTTTCAAACACACTTAAAGCAGACTATAACACCTCATAGATACAATCTTTCATAAACATGAATTTATCTGGGTTGGTAATTATGAAGGTATAGACCAGAAAGAATCTTTTCCTCTGTTACAAGAATCACTGGATTGAGCTCTTAGCTGTGCTAAAGAGCAAGTCAGATAATGATGGATCATTTTCCTTGTTTTAAAAAGCAGTTCATTATTCAGAAGTTAGCTATTTACATGTCCTAAAATCGGAAAAACTTTAAGCCTAGTGGCATCTGAACATGAGGAATTGACAAACAACCCCCCTATATTTTGTGAAGGATTTAAAACTCCTGCTTATTCCATTCAAACACAACCTCTACCTAAACCGAATCTCCCAACAAGTCCTTCTGGAGCTGTGTCCAGACTGAAAACATTCCTCAACCCAAAATCATTCCTTGGTTACAAATCCCCTACTTCACATGCTTGCAACATTAAGCACATACTTTCAGTACCCAACTCTGTCTTCCTGCAACAGCTATAAAACTGTTACTGACCAGGGCCACTCACAGCTTCTGCAAATTCCAGCCAGACACATCCAGCTTCCACAACTTACTGAAAATATCAGGTGTCAATCTGTTTCTTTACAGGTGCACAAGGATTCTATTTTTCTATTCAGTTTCACATTTTGGTTCTTAGCACTTGCTACTAGAATTTGTGCCTTTAAAAATACGTTTCACTTACCTCTATCCAGAACACTTTCAGACGAGATAATAAGTATGCATTTTGAGGATCCATTCCCTTTTAGCACGAAAGGATGAGACCTCACCTTGTAATACCTTATGTTCTCAAAATTAAAACTAAGCTGAAAAATTATTCTCACCAGGAGAAAAAATTCCTTTCAGTGAGGTGAAGCTCTCCCCAATCTTCTCGAAGTCAGGCAGAAGTTTGGCAAGGTCATCGGCATCAGGAAGGGCTTTGATAAGTTTTTCTACAAAAACAGTACAAGAACTAGTGAACAGTTTTTCTTTTCTATTATTTTTGTGAACAAAGACAGCTTGGGCTGTAAAACTAAATAACTTTTCCAGTAACTTCTTAAAAAAAAAAAAAAAAAAGCTTATTTCCACATGCACCTCCCCCATTAGTATTGGGAAAGTCTATCAGAGCTGCAAAAGCACCTGCTTCTTTAGACTTTGAACTTCCTGATAACTTGGTTGCCTAAAGTACTTAAAAACTGTGTAAAACTGATTCATGCATTTCACTGCGTTTCACACATTACCTCACATACTCAGGAGATGTTTTAAAGAATCTGAACAAGAAAACATTAGTCTCCCTTATTCAACCCCAGTGTTTAACATTACCTACACAGTGTCTGTACATGTAGTGGAAATCTTCCTCAACGTTTTTTTCAAAGCAAAGAACACTGCCCTACTACTCAACATACACAAGAAGTAACTCAGTGTGTTCTTCACATTTTAATCTCAGAATATACAAGAAAACTACTCTAACCACAAAGGTCAGGAAAATAAAAACTGTATTTTTCATTTTCTTAACTCTGCATCTCCAAAACAGTTTTACAGATATTTCTATAAGCTTACACACATTTGATTAGACATTTAATTATACACATATTTTAATTGTATATTTATATTTTTGTTTTTACTTGCTAGCCATTCATTGAAGAACCCTACGCATAACAGCCAAAACCTATTTAAGTCCTCTTGGCCTGAGAGGTTGATTTGAATAACATGAATACATGGTCACATTAAAGGACCAAGAATATTCTCAAATGAAAGGATGAATGATGGAATATCGATGCTAAGTAACACTTAACTTCTTCCAAAACAACACACTAATGCAAGTAGCTTCTTAAGACATACCTAAAACTCTGTAACAATACAAATACACCCAAATTACAGCTATAAAGCTACCACTGCACTGGAGACAGGCACTATGAGCCATATGCTTGTGTTCAGATACAGAGAAACATTTCTGCTTTTGTGATACCTAAGTCAATATGCTCATCAAGCTCCCAGATGAAGTCAGGAATAATCCACTTATATTCATCAAGATCAGGCATCATGTCCTTCCACTGATCATATGTCTAGGACATAAAGGAAACAAACAATAGAAATAGAAGAAATGCATGTAGAGATGCACATGAGCAATCAACTGAAAAGTAGCATCTACACAGAAAACATACGAACCCACCATCTTTTAGATATGTACAATGCTGTTCAGGTCTCTGAAAATATATTCTAACCCTCTTAAAAATTTGTTTTCCATTTTGACTCACTGTAACAGGATGGTTACTGCAATAATGTCAGCAGAGCAGCAAGATCCTAGGCTGCACCAAGTGAGAATTTGCTCAAACAACAAAAGCCATGGGCACAGAAATAAAGGAAAGAAACTGCTTACCTTCAGAAGGCCTCAGGCAGGCAGGGATCTCCACTGAGATTCCCTTGCCTCCCACTGTTAACCCTTAAATGGGGTCTGGGAAGGGGTGCATCTTGGCTCCACCCGTACAAATCACTCAGGTGCACTGCATGCACCCTGGGTTGGCCTCGGGTTGAGCTCCCTGGGTTGGCCCTGCCTTCCCTCCAGGTGCTCAATCACTGCTTCAGGCCATGACTCAGCATTTCTGCTACACTCATCTTTACTTTCATTAGTTAATCAAAACATGATAGGCTGTATTTCTGTAGATACACCAAGAACTATTGTTATGAAACAAATAATAACAAAAAATAAATATGTATAAAAGACAAACACACAAAATAACACATAAGATAAATACCTTCTTAGCTGTGTAACCACCACCTACAGCAGACCCCAATATAAGATAGCGAATTTTGAGAAGCCTTGATGCTAGTCTAGCTAGCCAAAAGTTCCTGTAGGACTGGTATCCATATTTCACATTTAAAAGTTTTGTTTTGCGTAGGGGAAGACGATTAAGAGAAGAGAACTGTTGAAGGGATATCCTTAATGGACGTCTTTGAAACTTCAAACTTGGATGGTAGGGATGATGGACGCTTCGGGAAACCAGGTGCAAGTTTTGTAGTGGTGATTTTCTTTTTATTCCGTAGGTGCTGCTTGCTAGACTCCTGCAGATGACACTAAAAGAAAGAAAGAAAGACTTTAAGTAGCAGATATCCTCGACATGCCATTAACTCAGTAACCTCTTCAGAAGCAATTCATGTTACATTTTAGCTGGTTACAGATAAATTAGAGCAAGATTCTGAATGTCCAGCTACCATTGCTGTGCTAACAGGAAAATAAAAGCTATAAACAGTATTCATTGGCACAGCATTTCCAGTGATTACTGAAAAACAAACAAAAAACAAACACCTCAAATACCATTTATAAGTTCTGTTGTTAAGTAGATTTAAATTCCACAGAAGATTAGGGGAAAAACATCTCAGTTTGGGCAACAAGTCGCTGAGTCCACAGAAAACTACCACCAACTTGCTACATAAATGAAAGCTTTATAGCCTGGCCTATTTACCTAATGTTTTCTAAAAGTTAGACTTGAGTAGATTTTGAAGAGTGTTTTCAAGCTTCAAAAAACAACAGGCAGACAAAAAAATCTCCTACAAAATGCATTTTCCTTTTTCTTGGCAAAGCTGATCCTCCTGAGGAGCTGAAGGATTTATCTGAAGAAATCTTTCAGTTTCCTTCCCTCTAATTCACAATGGTTCTAGGATTACAGCATTACTGCTCAGGTCATGCATAGACAAGATTACTTCTGGACATGTCTGCACTGTGCTTATTGAAGACTTCAGTAAAGTAATGCAGATTTACTTACAATAAAGACCTTCAGTGTGAATGAAAAGCACAGTTCAAACACAGAAACTTATCAATCTTGCCAGTACTAAAATACACAGATAAGTTGGACTATCTTCACTTATGCCATCTGCAGGCTTCAACATTTTGAGGTAGCTTTCCTGGTTTAGGGAAATGACAACAGCTCTGGAAAAAGTGATTTCTTTTTATATCTTTTTAGTTTCGCCATCTTAACAGAAAAGTTCATATTACATCATTCGCTGGATGCAAAATTTGAGTGAAGTTACAGTTCCTGAAATTAATACTTGTTCTAACACGGAAATCGAGCCTTCGGAAGGAAAGTTAAAACTCAGTGACATTTTCAGCTCTCAAAAAACAGAGTTGCTAATGGTGACTGCCCTTAAAGACAAATGTTAATCAGGCTGTGGTAAGCTGGGATGAAGCAAGCCAACAAAAGCATCGTTATTCGCTTTCTTGTGCTACCACTGCCATTACACAGATACTGACATTCTTCAGCAGAGACCAAGCAGTAGTGCACGCTACAGCAACCTCTCCCATCAACAGCCTTCAGCAAGTGGAAAACGTTTTCAGAGGTCCATAACTTCCCTCTCTGCGATAGTCCCTTTAAAACACACTCTTTTCCATTGCTCACTCTGCAGTTCTATCACAAACCAGTTCTATCACAAACCATAAGGCAACAGCTTCAACAACAAGTGCCTGCTGAGCGCTCTCACAGCTTAAGCTTTCAGTGTGCACATATAGAAGCTTACAGTAAAAACAACAACTCAAGCACTACAGCCAAGGTTCCATTCACTGCTTCGCCTCCCCTTCCTGCTGTTGAAAACGACTGATGAAAATTGACTCAAAAAAACCACAAGATCTTCCCTGAGAGGCGCAGTTACACTGAAACGGTACCAAAACACCACGACCGAACCAGCTGTTCCGTGACCTCTGGCAAGCTGCCTCAACAACTGCACACCAAACACGAACACACAGCTGTGCCACAGAACCCGCCTGACTACCGGCCCGCAACTGGGCTACGCTGGTGTAGCACAAGTCAAAGAATACTGGAAAGGACGAGGAAAAAGGCCCGCAGCTCCCATACCCGAGCACTGCGCTCGGAAGCCAGCACCCCTCCGCCCGGGGCCGGACCCAATCCTCAGCTGCGGCCCCGGCCTGCCCCCTGCCCGCTCACCAAGCCGCCGCCGCCCTCGTTCGCCACATCCTAAAGGCCGGGAGGTGCCGGGGAGGAGGAGAAGAAAGAAAGGCCGCACGAAGCTCCTCCGTCGCAGCCGCGGCCAAGGGCAGGGAGGGCCGCCACCGCCGGCCTGCCGAGCCGCTCCGCTTCCGGGTCCCCGGTCCGCGTTGTGAGGTCCGGCTGGAAACTCCGCCCCTCCCAAAGGTTCCGGCTGCGCCGGCTGCGAGGCGCTCGTGGCCGTTCCAGCCCGGCCGAGGCGTGTAGCACCTGCGGCTGTGCTTCTCGCGCGGTGCGGAACCTCCGTTCCCGGAGGGCTCAAACAGCTGTGATGCTGAAGAAGGGCAAGGAGCGGGTGGCGGCGCTGCCTCAGGTGCTGAAAAGCGAGAGGCGTTTTTCAGTGCCCTTCTGCCCGCTGTTGGGTCGCAGGCAGGATGCCTGGAAGTGGAAGAGGAACCAAGAGGGATCGGCAGGGCTGTTCCTCTGCCCGCAGACGATCGCTTCACGCAATTCTTGGCTTGTGCCAAGCCGCTGTGTACAGACCTCGGGCGCTGGAGTCTGGTAGTGCCGGTGCTCGTCGTGATTTCTCAGAGCCTCCCTCAGGTTGCACAACACGAAGTCAATCTTCCTTGCACACCGTGTCTCCCGGCTCCTTTCACTTTCTTCTCTGTGCTGTCTCCAGGCACCTTGACCATTGCAGGACATAAAGAGAAGTTTGGGGCGAGTTATAGGTCAGGCTACCGTTAATCGCAGGGGGGGTTGGAGTAGAAGATGTTCAGAGAACACTTTCAGGTTGGATATTAGGAAAAATCTCTTTCTCAGAAAGAAGGGTAACGCACTGGGACCGGCTGCCCAGGGAGGCGGTGGAGTCGTTGTTCCTGGAGGTGTGATTTTTATCTGTTTTTGAAGCAAATTTCAAATTAATAAGAGGAATGGTGACACTGTCGGTAGAAGCCAATACAAATAACTGCTGTATAATGACAGACCTGTAATACTTGGTTTGAACAGTAGGGGGCATCATTTAACTGCAGGTTCTGCTTTAGGGTGTTGCATTTTCTGCAGATAAAAGCCCTCCTTAAGAAAATGGACAAATTCCACCATCTTCATTCCTTCTGGATGAACAGACTTTTCTGAAATGCTATGCCAGGTTGCCAATCTACGGAAATTATGAATTTTTTAACTCTTTAATCTACGCCTCCTTTATTTTTAGTCGTGAAGATGCAAATCTCCCAAATAAGGGTGTTATATAGGAGTAGAAAATGTCAACAGAAGCTGGACTCGGGCTATGAGCAATGAATAGTTTGGGTGAGTTGTGATTCTTCCCTGGAGTTCCAGGTTTGGTGTGATCTGCTTGATACTCTCTTCTCTGGAAGTGCTGCCCAGTGACACATGCTGCATCCTACTCTTCTTCACACACCATAAGGAGCAAAGCTGACATTTGATGAAGCAGCAAAAGCTGATCAGGCAGAAAAATTGTTTGTGGCACTCCTGTTTTCCATTGCTGTCACCTCCCAAAATAATGAGTCATTTCCCAAAACCATCAGCCTGCTTTGGAAAAGTTGCCTTTGCAGTTGTTTCCTGTCTGTTATAGATTTTAAATAGTGCTGAGCTTTATAAATACGTTTATCATAAATGGACTATATTGTATTCTTTCTAATTCTTAATGGAAAATTTTGACTCTTAGGTAATAACTGCAATTTTGTTGCCGAGTCTCAGAACAACAAACTAAAATGGGCGATTTTTCTTGTGTTGCTTGGCCAACCTCCTTCATTTCCTCCTTTCTCTTCCAACCATTTCTGACTTTTCAGTTTTTCTGAGTCTTCCAGTCCTGCCCATCACATGAAACAGGCAATGGCCATTCATGGTGCTTGAGATGTTTGTGGCTTATACAAGTGCATGCCACATGGAATTGAAGTGCAGATGAGCAGGAACAAACTTGGCATGTCCTGGTCTGTTTCAGTCATTCTAGAAATAATAATTTAGTTTCCTTAACATATTTTCTGGAAGAACAGGTTTGCCTCTCCTGACCTCATTCCTACAATGTTTGATGTACAACTTCTTAAAAAATAGCAAAGGACAAGGAAACAGTAATGACAATGAGAATGAATCACAGGAATAATAAACAATTCAGCCCAGAGAAGTGAAAAAAGGAAGTGATAAAACCCTGATTGCTGTTTTTCTTTCTTTTAATTTTTATTATTCTTTTGTGAGCTTCATTTTGACCCTGTATAAGAGGTCAGAGACATTTGTACCCAGCTCTCTGACATCACAGAGAGCTCTAGTTTTGCTGAAGTGTGAATAAATAACTACAATTACTTTCCTCAAAGTTATATAGTAAGGTCAGAAGATGTTCTGTGACAATATTTTTAATAATTAACAATAATATTGATCACAGACCCTACATGGCAGGATCCTTACACTTAGCCAGTACACAAATCCACCTGCACAAACTAGAGCCAGAACTTGAATTTTCTCCAAGGAACATGAGGGAATCACAGCTGGACGGGCTGGTTGCTAAGAGTAGAAAAACAGCAAGGCCTATTGTCCTTCTCATTTGGACACGCTCCCTAGTCCCCAGTAATTCTATAATCTCTTGAGAAGACATATTCACCTCTTGCCCACCCCTGAAATATGCATGCCAGCAGCACTTGCTGCACTATCAGAGCTATGACTAGGATTCCTGCTCTGACAAATGTGTATCAGATCTAATTTTTGTTTTCCCCAGTGTCTTCGAGTGAGTTTTATTTCAAGGTATCCCCTCAATCTCAAAACCCCAACAACAGAATGAAAGGAGGAGGGATGAATGTTACCTGTTTACCCCACGGAGAGGGAGGAGCTCCATTCTTCAAACAAAAGCAGAGTTAGAAAGAAGGTGTGTACTTAGAACACTTCCTCAATGTGGACATTCAAGCCACACAACACTGAAGACTTGTCCCGAGGGTGCTGTACAAAGTCTCCAGAAGGTCATTTCATGGGGGAAAATCCTGCTAAGAGCCATTATGCACTGCTTAACCAGGGAGAGGAGAATGAAATGGTGAGTCGTTTTATCTTTGCCTAGGTCTTTCTCAATTCAAAGCAGCAGATGGCACGTGTTCTGCAATAAAATGATACAGTCTGTAATTTAATTATGAATGGTAGTATCTCCATAGCAGAAACATACAGTTATAAAGAGATGTGTATGTATGTATATATATATACTTATTTATTTTTTAACTGAAAGAATACTAAGTTGGGTATGTCCACTAGATGTAATTTGTTTTTACCTCCAGCAGGAGATAACTTCACAGAATCTTAGAAGAAGCTGACAGAATACTGATGTAGTATTGTAAAACTAGCCACTGCTGGCCTTGTCCCAGCCTGAGGGTTGGCCTAGAGTAGCGCTTCTAAACATTTAACAGCTGAATCTCTAGGGTGAGCTCCATCTGGATGAGATGGGAATCTTGAATCTTCTCTAGAACTAAAAAAAAAACACCATTGAAACACTTCTTATGTTTGAATAAATTGTTAGCTAAAGCAGTCTGTTGAATTAGCAACACTATTTTAGCCTGGGAACCTGTATTGAACTGGATTTCTAATTACAGAACTATGGTTTTTCCAGGGAGGAGAATGTTGTTGAGTGTGTTTCTGATAGAACAACACTGAATGTTGCTCCTGGCTTCAGAGGGAATGGGAACAAACCTCTAATGAAAGGGGTTCCAATTGCTAAGAATGAGATTCAGATATTAAATTCATTGTGAATCTTTACCGGTCTTTCAAGTCTAATCCTATTACCTGTTGCTACAGCAACAAGTTATTAGTAATAGGGTACCTGGTGATTGGGTTGCCAGAATTATGATATTTCACAGCCACTGTTCTGATTTCTTTCTCTTTAGTACCTACAAGCCATGTTTTCACCAAGGAAAAGGGTGCTTGAACTTGTTTCACTTTTGCATTTCATTTCTATTGAGCAGATGACTCTGCAGTTATAGGGAATTTTTCTTTTAACCAGAAGTAACAGACTTGCTGAATATTAGAGTAATAAGCCCTTGAGAGCTGGCTTTGTATGATTGCAGATGGAGCTAAGAGCCTTTCATTGAATAATTGTGTTTTCTGCCAACTGAGCGGGTCTGACAGTCCAATAATTCATTGCCCCTCCATGGACCCCTCACTCACAAGTTGAAACTCTTCTCTATTTGTTACTCTTCTGACTGTTAGGAGTTCCAAGAGAAAGGTATTGTCAACAGGCAGGGAAACAGTTTTACAATACACTAGAATTAATTAAAAATTATGGCACAGAGAGGAGTCCTTTGTACAGCCTCTTTTGTAGACAGTGTTATGTCCTATGAAATGACAAGAAGCACTTTGGAGTATTACAGACAGCTAATCTTAGCTTTGGTTTTCATCACCTATAATTTTTGGGCTGCTATGAACCTAGGTTATTTAACTGCATGTTATATATCAGGCCATAACAACCTGCCCATGGAATACAGAAGGTGCAAATCTGTATATTTCAGGTGAGCATGTCTACATTAGTACCACTTCCTTGTGCAGTGAAATACAAGCCAACAGAAGTTGTTTTCTTCCTTACCAACGTTAAACCAAGCTGACAGATGTGCTCTTATTGGTGACATCAACACCAGGATTTTTGTCAGCCCAGGAAGCATTGCTTGTCATAGCGGACATAGATTTTCTTGGGAGATCTTTGCAGTGTTGACCTAGCAAATCCTGGATAAGCTTGAAGGCTTTCCAAACACTAATAACACTAAGACACTAAGACATTCACGTGGCTAGACCAACCTGCTGAGAAACTTTCACGATATGTGCGCCTGTTCCCACTTTTTCATACACATTTTGATCACCAGTGTTGTGGGTCAAATATTCACCTTTTTTTCTTTTTCAAGAAGGGAATATTTTGAAAATTCTTCAGAAGAACAAATCCTTATTGACCTATTTGATAAATGAGAAGTGGTTTTATTTATTCCATTTCTTTTTAAGCAAGGAATTATTTATTTACTAAATGTTTTTATGAATTCGTCATTCATTGCTTAATTTCTTCCTGCAGAAGGCACAGTCAGAAAACCAGCTGAATGTAACAGGAGGTTTTATTCTAGAGCAGAGCATTGAAAGGGGAGCTCTGGGACAAGTAAGGTTTGGAGCTTGGTTTGTTTCCC